CCCCACCGTAGACCTGCCGTAGGCCTACCGTAGGCCGATCGTAGGCTTAATATAGGCCAACCATAGGCCTACCATAGACCTACCATGGGCCTGCCATGCATGGGCCTACCATAGACCTACCTTAGGCCTACCATAGGGCTACCATAGACCCACCGTAGACCTACCGTAGGCCTACCGTCGCCCACCATGGACCTATGCATAGGCTGTCCATAGGCTTACCACACGCCTACCATAGACGTACCACACGCTGACCATAGGCCTGTGCATAGGCTAGGTATGGGTCGACCGTCGCTTTATGCGGGGGTACACCCTGGCTTACGATAGGCTTACCATAGCGCTACCATAGGGCTACCCTAGATCTATGCATAGGCTATGCATAGCCTACGCAGATGCTTACGGTAGACCTACGGTTGGCCCATGAAAGGCCTACGCATAGGGTATTACAGGGACTATCGGGCGAAGCGCTGGTAGGCCTATGCACAGGCTATGCGCGGGCCTACCATTGGCCGGTGCATTGCCTTTGGATAGGGGATCCTGAACTAACCTGTCAGGGCTGCAAGGCTGCATGAGCCTCAGGGCACTCCACTACGTGCTGAAGGTACGGTCGCGGAAGACGGGAAGCGCTTCCGGCCTGGAGAAAAAAATTACGCTACCGAGGACCCCCACATACTTATATTATGGCTGGAGTGATGATAGCTGAAGTGAAGCATGTGAGAGTGATGTTGGTGGCCGTTGCCCCGCCGATACCGTTGGTGACGCCACTCAAGAGCATAGGTGGAAGAGGAGAAGTGCCGCGCCAGCCACACTTTGCGAGCCCGGTGACCTGGACGACCGGCGCGCATAGCGGCCGCGGTGAGGGACCACCCCCTGCGCACCCCGTCTGGCGTCGAGAAAGCGCCACGCTTGCTATGCCCTGGACGACCGTCGTGCATAGTGGCCGCGGTGAGGGACCAACCCCCGCGCACCCTCTGTGGTGTCGAGAAAGTGCCACGCTTGCTATGCCCTGGACGACCGGCGCGCATAGCGGCCGCGGTGAGGGACCACCCCCTGCGCACCCCGTCTGGCGTCGAGAAAATGCCACGCCTGCTATGCCCTGGACGACCGTCGTGCATAGCGGCCGCGCTCAGGGACCACCTCCTGCGCAGCCCCTACGGTGTCGAGAAAGTGCCACTCCTGCCACGCTTTACGAATCCGAACCGAATAGGGAGACCACCCCCAGCGCACCCCCTGAGATGTCGAGGAAGTGCCAAGCCTGTCACGCTTTGCGAGCCCAAAACGGATAGGGAGACCACCCCCAGCGCACCCCCTGTGGTGTCGAGGAAGTGCCACGCCTGCCGCGCTTTGCAAGACCGAAACGGATAGGGAGACCACCCCCAGCGCAGCCCCTGTGGTGTCGAGGAAGTGGCACACCTGCCATGCTTTGCGAGACCGAAATGGATAGGGAGACCACCCCCGGCGCACCCCCTGGTGTCGAGGAAGTGCCACGCCTGCCGCGCCTTGCGAGCCCGAAACGGATAGGGAGACCATCCCTAGCGCAGCCCCTATGGTGTCGAGGAAGTGCCACTCCTGCCGCGCTTTGCAAGCCCGAAACGGACAGGGCAACCACCCCCAGCGCACCCCCTTATGGTGTCGAGGAGGTGCCACGCTTGCCACGCTTTGCGAGCCCGAAACGGATAGGCAGACCCCCCCCCCAGCGCACCCCCTGTGTTGTCGAGGAAGTGCAACGCCTGCCACGCTTTGCAAGACCGAAACGGATATGGAGACCACCCCCAGCGCAGCCCCTGTGGTGTCGAGGAAGTGGCACACCTGCCACGTTTTGCGAGACCGAAATGGATAGGGAGACCACCCCCAGCGCACCCCCTGGTGTCGAGGAAGTGCCACACCTGCCGCGCTTTGCGAGCCCGAAACGGATAGGGAGACCACCCCCAGCGCAGCCCCTGTGGTGTCGAGGAAGTGGCACGCCTGCCACACTGTGCGAGCCCGAAACCGATAGGGCAACCATCCCCAGCAACCCCCCTTATGGTGTCGAGGAAGTGCCACTCCTGCCACGCTTTACGAATCCGAAACGGATAGGGAGACCACCCCCAGCGCACCCCCTGAGATGCCGAGGAAGTGCAACGCCTGCCACGCTTTGCAAGACCGAGACGGATATGGAGACCACCCCCAGCGCAGCCCCTGTGGTGTCGAGGAAGTGGCACACCTGCCACGTTTCGCGAGACCGAAATGGATAGGGAGACCACCCCCGGCGCACCCCCTGGTGTCGAGGAAGTGCCACGCCTGCCGCGCTCTGCGAGCCCGAAACGGATGGGGAGACCACCCCCAGCGCAGCCCCTGTGGTGTCGAGGAACTGCCACGCCTGCCACGCTTTGCGAGCCCGAAACCGATAGGGCCACCATCCCCAGCGACCCCCCTTACGGTGTCGAGGAAGTGCCACTCCTGCCACGCTTTACGAATCCGAAACGGATAGGGAGACCACCCGCAGCGCACGCCCTGAGATGCCGAGGAAGTGCCACGCCTGCCACGCTTTGCGAGCCCGAAACGGATAGGGAGACCACCCCCAGCGCACCCCCTGTGGTGTCGAGGAAGTGGCACGCCTGCCACACTTTGCAAGACCGAAACGGATAGGGAGACCATCCCCCAGCGCAGCCCCTGTGGTGTCGAGGAAGTGGAACACCTGCCACGTTTTGCGAGACCGAAGTGGATAGGGAGACCACCCCCAGCGCACCCCCTGTGGTGTCGAGAAAATGCCACGCCTGCCGCGCTTTCCAAGCCCGAAACGGATAGGGAGACCACCCCCAGCGCAGCCTCTCTGGTGTCGACGAACTGCCACGCCTGCCGCGCCTCGCGAACCCGCAACGGATAGGGCAACCACCCCCAGCGCACCCCCTTATGGTGTCGAGGAAGTGCCACGCCTTTGATGGCTTATAATCACCATCTCTGAGGAGAAGGCGCTGGTCAAACGACCAGCCCGCCCTTCCATCAAGTCTGGTGGTGCGACGAGGAGGAGTTGCTGTAAGGAGAAGAGGTGGAGGCGCGAGCAGCGAAGGGGAGCGAGAGGGGGACGGAGGAGAATGCGAGAGGGGGGATCCAGCTTGAGAGGCGCCGGTGGGCTACTGGGACCCGATGGGGCTCTCCAAGGATGGCGACATGACTAAGTTCAAGCGCCGCAGGGCTAGCGAGCTGAAGCACGGGCGCATCTGCATGTACGCCACCCTCGGGTACATCGTGCCAGAGTATTTCCGGTTCCCTGGGTTCCTGTCGGTGTCCGAGAACCTGAAGTTCGCGGACATGCCCAGCGGCATCAACGGCATGTTCTCCACGCCAGTCGCGGGGGGTCTGCAGATCTTCCTCTTCATGGGTTTCCTGGAGGCGCGAGGAAGGGGCCGAACACAGCACGCAGGAACACACACACACACACACTGTTCCTCAGGCGGACAGGCGACAGGACCACAGGGAGTACTGAGGCGGGGCACGCTTAGCTCCATGCAGAAACATCCACACACACACACACACACACGACACACACACACACACACACACACACACACACACACACGACACACACACAGACACACACACACACACACACACACGGCATGCCGTATCTCGGCCTGGTTTCTTGGGCAGTGTTCCCTGAATACCCAGCCCGCCCGCGCTCCCGCTTGCAGCCTTGCGCAAGGCCGTACACGCATGCTCCGCTTGTGGTTGCTCTCTACACGGCGTTGTCCTCCAGCACCCCTTTGTTAGCAAAAGTTTGTCCAGTGCCTCCTGCCAGCCCGCCGGCCATGCGGCAAGCCAGCCCTTTTTGTCCGCCTGTGCGAGGTCGGCCTCCTGAGACAAGACGGCAGCCGCGCCCCGGGCGACTTCGAGAACGTGGGCCGGCTGGGCGTGCCGTACGCCGAGGGCGAGCAGGACCCCGAGGCGAGGAAGCGCGCCTTGAACTCGGAGCTGGCGAACGGTCGCTTGGCGATGGTGGCCTTCATGGGCATGCTGTTCCAGAACGGCACCTTCGGGTCCACCGGCCCTGAGATGTGGCTGCCGTCGTCCGCCTTCGAGAACGAGCTGGGCGTTCAGGCTGCCGCTGCAGGGGGCGAAGGAACGACCTTCGGCAGGAGCAGGAGCAGGAGGAGGAGCCATCAATTTCAAGGGAGTAGCAAATCACAGCCCTCCATCTGTATCTACGTGCTGCACACCTTCAGGTTTCATGGCTTGGTGTCGTAGATCACGCATTGTGCGAGAGGGACAGCTTGATCGCTGTCCATTTGTGCTTACGTTGCACACTTCTTGTTCTCGTATCGTAAAAGTTGGAAATGTATCATGCTCGAGCCCTGGAGAAGGTATCGCTCTCTATCTGTGAACGGTTGACAGTGTGTTCTGCGAAGGCGCGCTTCCCACAGCCGCGAGCCACGTTTTGATGGCTCATGATCCTCAACTCTGCGGAGACGGCGCTGCTCAAACGACCAGCCCGCCCTTCCAGCAAGTCTGGTAGTGCGACGAGGAGGAGTTGCTGTAAGAAGGATAGGTGGAGGCATGAGCAGCCAAGGGGAGCGAGAGGGGGACGGAGGAGAATGCGAGAGGGGGGATCCTGCTCGAGAGGCGCCGGTGGGCTACTGGGACCCGATGGGGCTCTCCAAGGATGGCGACGTGACTAAGTTCAAGCGCCGCAGGGCTAGTGAGCTGAAGCACGGGCGCATCTGCATGTACGCCACCCTCGGGTACATCGTGCCAGAGTATTTCCGGTTCCCTGGGTTCCTGTCAGTGTCCGAGAACCTGAAGTTCGCGGACATGCCCAGCGGCATCAACGGCATGTTCTCCACGCCAGTCGCGGGGGGTCTGCAGATCTTCCTGTTCATGGGTTTCTTGGAGGCGCGAGGGAGGGGCCGAACGCAGCACGCAGGAACACACTTTTTTCCGCAGGCGGACAGGCGACAAGACCACAGCGAGTGCTAAGGCGGGGCACGCACACAGACACACACACACACACACACACAACACACACACACGCACGCACACACACACACACACACGGCATGCCGTATCTCGGCCTGGTTTCTTTGGCAGTGTTTTTTGAAAACCCAGCCCGCCCGCGCTCCCGCTTGAACCGCTGTGCAAGTCCGTACATGCATGCTCCGCCTGTGGCTGCACTCTACACGGTGTTGTTCTCCAGCACCCTCTTTCTGGCAAAAGGTTGGCCGGTGCCCCCTGCCAGCCCAAGCTGGCCCACGATTCCCCCAGCCCTTTTTGTCCGCCTGTGCGAGGTCGGCCTCCTGAGACAAGACGGCAGCCGCGCCCCGGGCGACTTCGAGAACGTGGGCCGGCTGGGCGTGCCGTACGCCGAGGGCGAGCAGGACCCCGAGGCGAGGAAGCGCGCCTTGAACTCGGAGCTGGCGAACGGTCGCTTGGCGATGGTGGCCTTCATGGGCATGCTGTTCCAGAACGGCACCTTCGGGTCCACCGGCCCTGAGATGTGGCTGCCGTCGTCCGCCTTCGAGAACGAGCTGGGCGTTCAGGCTGCCGCTGCAGGGGGCGAAGGAACGACCTTCGGCAGGAGCAGGAGCAGGAGCAGGAGGAGCCATCTATTTCAAGGGAGTATCAAATCATAGCCTCATGTTGAAGAGGGGCCACCCTCCATATGTATGTACGTGCTGCACACCTTCAGGTTTCGGGGCTTAGTGTCGTAGATAACGCATTATGCGCACATGTTGCACACTTCTTGTTTTCGTATCGTAGAATTGAAAATGTATCATGCTCGAGCCCTGGAAAAGGTATCGCTCTCCATCCGTGAACGGTTGATAATGTGTTCTGCGAAGGCGCGCTTCGCACAGCCGCGAGCCACATTTTGATGGCTCATGATCATCAACTCTGAGGAGAAGGCGCTGGTCAAAAGATCAGCCCGCCATTCCAGCAAGTCTGGTGGTGCGGCGAGGAGGAGTTGCTGTAAGGAGCAGAGGTGGAGGCATGAGCAGCGAAGGGGAGCGAGAGGGGGGCAGAGGAGAATGCGAGAGGGGGGATCCTGCTCGAGAGGCGCCGGTGGGCTACTGGGACCCGATGGGGCTCTCCAAGGATGGCGACATGACTAAGTTCAAGCGCCGCAGGGCTAGCGAGCTGAAGCACGGGCGCATCTGCATGTACGCCACCCTCGGGTACATCGTGCCAGAGTATTTCCGGTTCCCTGGGTTCCTGTCGGTGTCCGAGAACCTGAAGTTCGCGGACATGCCCAGCGGCATCAACGGCATGTTCTCCACTCCAGTCGCGGGGGGTCTGCAGATCTTCTTGTTCATGGGTTTCCTGGAGGCCCGAGGGAGGGGCCGAACACAGCACGCAGGAACACACACTTTTCCTCAGGCGGACAGGCGACAGGACCACAGCGAATACGAAGGCGGGACACGCTTAGCTCCATGCAGAAACATACACAGACACACACACACACACACACACATACGGCATGCCGTATCTCGGCCTGGTGTGCTCCCAGAATCCGCAGCCCGCCCGCGCTCCCGCTTGCACCCCTGCGCAAGTCCGTACATGCATGCTCCGCCTGTAGCTGCTCTCTCTACACGGCGTTGTCCTCTGGCACCCCTTTGTTGGCAAAAGTTTGACTGGCACCCCCTGCCAGCCCAAGCTGGCCCACGATTCCCCCAGCCCGCCGGCCGTGCGGCAAGCCAGCCCCCTCTGTCCGCCTGTGCGAGGTCGGCCTCCTGAGACAAGACGGCAGCCGCGCCCCGGGCGACTTCGAGAACGTGGGCCGGCTGGGCGTGCCGTACGCCGAGGGCGAGCAGGACCCCGAGGCGAGGAAGCGCGCCTTGAACTCGGAGCTGGCGAACGGTCGCTTGGCGATGGTGGCCTTCATGGGCATGCTGTTCCAGAACGGCACCTTCGGGTCCACCGGCCCTGAGATGTGGCTGCCGTCGTCCGCCTTCGAGAACGAGCTGGGCGTTCAGGCTGCCGCTGCAGGGGGCGAAGGAACGAACTTCGGCAGGAGCAGGAGCAGGAGCAGGAGAAGCCATCAATTTCAAGGGAGTATCAAATCATAGCCTCATGTTGAAGAGGGGCCACCCTCCATATGTATGTACGTGCTGCACACCTTCAGGTTTCGGGGCTTAGTGTCGTAGATAACGCATTATGCGCACATGTTGCACACTTCTTGTTTTCGTATCGTAGAATTGAAAATGTATGATGCTCGAGCCCTGGAAAAGGTATCGCTCTTCATCCATTAACGGTTGACAGTGTGTTCTGCCAAGGCGCGCTTCGCAGAGGCGGGAGCCACATTTTGATGGCTCATGATCATCAATTCTGAGGAGAAGGCGCTGGTCAAACGATCAGCCCGCCCTTCCATCAAGTCTGGTGGTGCGACGAGGAGGAGTTGCTGCAAGGAGCAGAGGTGGAGGCATGAGCAGCGAAGGGGAGCCAGAGGGGGGCAGAGGAGAATGCGAGAGGGGGGATCCTGCTTGAGAGGCGCCGGTGGGCTACTGGGACCCGATGGGGCTCTCCAAGGATGGCGACATGACTAAGTTCAAGCGCCGCAGGGCTAGCGAGCTGAAGCACGGGCGCATCTGCATGTACGCCACCCTCGGGTATATCGTGCCAGAGTATTTCCGGTTCCCTGGGTTCCTGTCGGTGTCCGAGAACCTGAAGTTCGCGGACATGCCCAGCGGCATCAACGGCATGTTCTCCACTCCAGTCGCGGGGGGTCTGCAGATCTTCTTGTTCATGGGTTTCCTGGAGGCCCGAGGGAGGGGCCGAACACAGCACGCAGGAATACACACTTTTCCTCAGGCGGACAGGCGACAGGACCACAGCGAGCTCTAAGGCGGGGCACGCTTAGCTCCATGCAGAAACATACGCAGACACACAGACACACACACACACACACCGCATGCCGTATCTCGGCCTGGTGTGCTCCCAGAATCCGCAGCCCGCCCGCGCTCCCGCTTGCACCCCTGCGCAAGTCCGTACATGCATGCTCCGCCTGTAGCTGCTCTCTCTACACGGCGTTGTCCTCTGGCACCCCTTTGTTGGCAAAAGTTTGACTGGCGCCCCCTGCCAGCCCAAGCTGGCCCACGATTCCCCCAGCCCGCCGGCCGTGCGGCAAGCCAGCCCCCTCTGTCCGCCTGTGCGAGGTCGGCCTCCTGAGACAAGACGGCAGCCGCGCCCCGGGCGACTTCGAGAACGTGGGCCGGCTGGGCGTGCCGTACGCCGAGGGCGAGCAGGACCCCGAGGCGAGGAAGCGCGCCTTGAACTCGGAGCTGGCGAACGGTCGCTTGGCGATGGTGGCCTTCATGGGCATGCTGTTCCAGAACGGCACCTTCGGGTCCACCGGCCCTGAGATGTGGCTGCCGTCGTCCGCCTTCGAGAGCGAGCTGGGCGTTCAGGCTGCCGCTGCAGGGGGCGAAGGAACGACCTTCGGCAGGAGCAGAAACAGGAGGAGGAGGAGGAGCCATCAACTTCAAGGGAGTGTCAAGTCATAGCCCTATGTTGAAGTGGGGCCGCCCTCCATATGTTTGTACATGCTGCACACCTTCAGGTTTCGGGGCTTAGTGTCGTAGATGACGCATTGTGCGAGAGGGACAGCTTGATCGCCCTCCATTCGTGCATATGTTGCACACTTCTTGTTCTCGCACCGTGAAAGTTGAAAATGTATGATGCTCGAGCCCTGGAAAAGGTATCGCACTCCATTCGTGAACGGTTGACAATGTGTTCTGCGAAGGCGCGCTTCGCAAAGGCGGGAACCACATCTTGATGGTTCATGATCATCAAATCTGAAGAGAAAGCGCTGGCCAAACGACCAGCCCGCCCTTCAGCAAGTCTGGTGGTGCGACGAGGAGGAGTTGCTGTAAGGAGCAGAGGTGGAGGCGTGAGCAGCCAAGGGGAGCGAGAGGGGGACAGAGGATAATGCGAGAGGGGGGATCCTGCTTGAGAGGCGCCGGTGGGCTACTGGGACCCGATGGGGCTCTCCAAGGATGGCGACATGACTAAGTTCAAGCGCCGCAGGGCTAGCGAGCTGAAGCACGGGCGCATCTGCATGTACGCCACCCTCGGGTACATCGTGCCAGAGTATTTCCGGTTCCCTGGGTTCCTGTCAGTGTCCGAGAACTTGAAGTTCGCGGACATGCCCAGCGGCATCAACGGCATGTTCTCCACGCCAGTCGCGGGGGGTCTGCAGATCTTCCTGTTCATGGGTTTCCTGGAGGCGCGAGGGAGGGGCCGAACACAGCACGCAGGAACACACTTTTTTCCGCAGGCGGACAGGCGACAGGACCACAGGGAGTACTAAGGTGGGGCACGCTTAGCTCCATGCAGAAACATACACAGACACACAGACACACACGGCATGCCGTATCTCGGCTTGGTTTCCTTGGCAGTGCTCCCAGAATCCGCAGCCCGCACGCGCTCCCGCTTGCACCCCTGCGCAAGTCCGTACATGCATGCTCCGCCTGTAGCTGCTCTCTCTACACGGCGTTGTCCTCCGGCACTCCTTTGTGTCCGGTGCCCCCTGCCAGCCCAAGCTGGCCCACGATTCCCCCAGCCCACCGGCCGTGCGGCAAGCCAGCCCCCTTTGTCCGCCTGTGCGAGGTCGGCCTCCTGAGGCAAGACGGCAGCCGCGCCCCGGGCGACTTCGAGAACGTGGGCCGGCTGGGCGTGCCGTACGCCGAGGGCGAGCAGGACCCCGAGGCGAGGAAGCGCGCCTTGAATTCGGAGCTGGCGAACGGTCGCTTGGCGATGGTGGCCTTCATGGGCATGCTGTTCCAGAACGGCACCTTCGGGTCCACCGGCCCTGAGATGTGGCTGCCGTCGTCCGCCTTCGAGAACGAGCTGGGCGTTCAGGCTGCCGCTGCAGGGGGCGAAGGAACGAACTTCGGCAGGAGCAGGAGGAGGAGCCATCAATTTCAAGGGAGTATCAAATCATAGCCCCATGTTGGAGAGGGGACGACCTCCATGTGTATGTACGTACTTCACACCTTCAGGTTTCGGGGCTTAGTGTCGTAGATAACGCATTGCGCGACAGGGACAATTTGATCACTCTCCATTCGTGCATATGTTGCACACTCCTCGTTCTCGTATCGTAGAAATTGAAAATGTATCATGCTCGAGCCCTGGAAAAGGTATCGCTCTTCATCCGTGAACGGTTGACAGTGTGTTCTGCGAAGGCGCGCTTCGCAAAGGCGGGAGCCACATTTTGATAGTTCATGATCATCAACTCTTCGGAGAAAGCGCTGGCCAAACGATCAGCCCGCTATTCCAGCAAGCCTGGTGGTGCGACGAGGAGGAGTTGCTGCAAGGAGCAGAGGTGGAGGCATGAGCAGCGAAGGGGAGCGAGAGGCGGACAGAGGAGAATGCGAGAGGGGGGATCCTGCTCGAGAGGCGCCGGTGGGCTACTGGGACCCGATGGGGCTCTCCAAGGATGGCGACATGACTAAGTTCAAGCGCCGCAGGGCTAGCGAGCTGAAGCACGGGCGCATCTGCATGTACGCCACCCTCGGGTATATCGTGCCAGAGTATTTCCGGTTCCCTGGGTTCCTGTCGGTGTCCGAGAACCTGAAGTTCGCGGACATGCCCAGCGGCATCAACGGCATGTTCTCCACGCCAGTCGCGGGGGGTCTGCAGATCTTCTTGTTCATGGGTTTCCTGGAGGCCCGAGGGAGGGGCCGAACACAGCACGCAGGAACACACAGTTTTCCTCAGGCGGACAGGCGACAGGACCACAGCGAGCTCTAAGGCAGGGCACGCTTAGCTCCATGCAGAAACATACGCAGACACACAGACACACACGGCATTCCGTATCTCGGCCTGGTGTGCTCCCAGAATCCGCAGCCCGCCCGCGCTCCCGCTTGCACCCCTGCGCAAGTCCGTACATGCATGCTCCGCCTGTAGCTGCTCTCTCTACACGGCGTTGTCCTCCGGCACCCCTTTGTTGACAAAAGTTTGACTGGCGCCCCCTGCCAGCCCAAGCTGGCCCACGATTCCCCCAGCCCGCCGGCCGTGCGGCAAGCCAGCCCCCTCTGTCCGCCTGTGCGAGGTCGGCCTCCTGAGACAAGACGGCAGCCGCGCCCCGGGCGACTTCGAGAACGTGGGCCGGCTGGGCGTTCCGTACGCCGAGGGCGAGCAGGACCCCGAGGCGAGGAAGCGCGCCTTGAACTCGGAGCTGGCGAACGGTCGCTTGGCGATGGTGGCCTTCATGGGCATGCTGTTCCAGAACGGCACCTTCGGGTCCACCGGCCCTGAGATGTGGCTGCCGTCGTCCGCCTTCGAGAACGAGCTGGGCGTTCAGGCTGCCGCTGCAGGGGGTGAAGGAACGAACTTCGGCAGGAGCAGGAGCAGGAGCAAGAGGAGCCATCAATTTCAAGGGAGTATCAAAACATAGCCCCATGTTGAAGAGGGGCCGCCCTCCATATGCATGTACGTGCTGCACACCTTCAGGTTTCGGGGCTTAGTGTCGTAGATAACGCATTGTGCGCACATGTTGCACACTCCTCGTTCTCGCATCGTAGAATTGAAACGTATACTGCTCGAGTCCTGGAAAGGGTATCGGTCTCCATCCGTGAACGGTTGACAATGTGTTCTGCGGAGGCGCGCTTCGCAAAGGCGGGAGCCACATTTGGATGGCTCATGACCATGAACTCTTCGGAGAAAGCGCTGGCCAAACGATCAGCCCGCTATTCCAGCAAGCCTGGTGGTGCGACGAGGAGGAGTTGCTGTAAGGAGCAGAGGTGGAGGCATGAACAGCGAAGGGGAGCGAGAGGGGGGCAGAGGAGAATGCGAGAGGGGGGATCCAGCTTGAGAGGCGCCGGTGGGCTACTGGGACCCGATGGGGCTCTCCAAGGATGGCGACATGACTAAGTTCAAGCGCCGCAGGGCTAGCGAGCTGAAGCACGGGCGCATCTGCATGTACGCCACCCTCGGGTACATCGTGCCAGAGTATTTCCGGTTCCCTGGGTTCCTGTCGGTGTCCGAGAACCTGAAGTTCGCGGACATGCCCAGCGGCATCAACGGCATGTTCTCCACTCCAGTCGCGGGGGGTCTGCAGATCTTCTTGTTCATGGGTTTCCTGGAGGCCCGAGGGAGGGGCCGAACACAGCACGCAGGAACACACACTTTTCCTCAGGCGGACAGGCGACAGGACCACAGCGAGCTCTAAGGCAGGGCACGCTTAGCTCCATGCAGAAACATACGCAGACACACAGACACACACCGCATGCCGTATCTCGGCCTGGTGTGCTCCCAGAATCCGCAGCCCGCCCGCGCTCCCGCTTGCACCCCTGCGCAAGTCCGTACATGCATGCTCCGCCTGTAGCTGCTCTCTCTACACGGCGTTGTCCTCCGGCACTCCTTTGTGTCTGGTGCCCCCTGCCAGCCCAAGCTGGCCCACGATTCCCCCAGCCCGCCGGCCGTGCGGCAAGCCAGCCCCCTCTGTCCGCCTGTGCGAGGTCGGCCTCCTGAGACAAGACGGCAGCCGCGCCCCGGGCGACTTCGAGAACGTGGGCCGGCTGGGCGTGCCGTACGCCGAGGGCGAGCAGGACCCCGAGGCGAGGAAGCGCGCCTTGAACTCGGAGCTGGCGAACGGTCGCTTGGCGATGGTGGCCTTCATGGGCATGCTGTTCCAGAACGGCACCTTCGGGTCCACCGGCCCTGAGATGTGGCTGCCGTCGTCCGCCTTCGAGAACGAGCTGGGCGTTCAGGCTGCCGCTGCAGGGGGCGAAGGAACGAACTTCGGCAGGAGCAGGAGCAGGAGCAAGAGGAGCCATCAATTTCAAGGGAGTATCAAATCATAGCCTCATGTTGAAGAGGGGCCACCCTCCATATGTATGTACGTGCTGCACACCTTCAGGTTTCGGGGCTTAGGGTCGTAGATAACGCATTATGCGCACATGTTGCACACTTCTTGTTTTCGTATCGTAGAACTGAAAATGTATGATGCTCGAGCCCTGGAAAAGGTATCGCTCTTCATCCATTAACGGTTGACAGTGTGTTCTGCCAAGGCGCGCTTCGCAGAGGCGGGAGCCACATTTTGATGGCTCATGATCATCAACTCTGAGGAGAAGGCGCTGGTCAAACGATCAGCCCGCCCTTCCATCAAGTCTGGTGGTGCGACGAGGAGGAGTTGCTGCAAGGAGCAGAGGTGGAGGCATGAGCAGCGAAGGGGAGCGAGAGGGGGGCAGAGGAGAATGCGAGAGGGGGGATCCTGCTCGAGAGGCGCCGGTGGGCTACTGGGACCCGATGGGGCTCTCCAAGGATGGCGACATGACTAAGTTCAAGCGCCGCAGGGCTAGCGAGCTGAAGCACGGGCGCATCTGCATGTACGCCACCCTCGGGTATATCGTGCCAGAGTATTTCCGGTTCCCTGGGTTCCTGTCGGTGTCCGAGAACCTGAAGTTCGCGGACATGCCCAGCGGCATCAACGGCATGTTCTCCACTCCAGTCGCGGGGGGTCTGCAGATCTTCTTGTTCATGGGTTTCCTGGAGGCCCGAGGGAGGGGCCGAACACAGCACGCAGGAACACACACTTTTCCTCAGGCGGACAGGCGACAGAACCACAGCGAGCTCTAAGGCAGGGCACGCTTAGCTCCATGCAGAAACATACGCAGACACACAGGCACACGCACACACACACACACACACACACACACACACCGCATGCCGTATCTCGGCCTGGCGTGCTCCCAGAATCCGCAGCCCGCCCGCGCTCCCGCTTGCACCCCTGCGCAAGTCCGTACATGCATGCTCCGCCTGTAGCTGCTCTCTCTACACGGCGTTGTCCTCTGGCACCCCTTTGTTGGCAAAAGTTTGACTGGCGCCCCCTGCCAGCCCAAGCTGGCCCACGATTCCCCCAGCCCGCCGGCCGTGCGGCAAGCCAGCCCCCTCTGTCCGCCTGTGCGAGGTCGGCCTCCTGAGACAAGACGGCAGCCGCGCCCCGGGCGACTTCGAGAACGTGGGCCGGCTGGGCGTGCCGTACGCCGAGGGCGAGCAGGACCCCGAGGCGAGGAAGCGCGCCTTGAACTCGGAGCTGGCGAACGGTCGCTTGGCGATGGTGGCCTTCATGGGCATGCTGTTCCAGAACGGCACCTTCGGGTCCACCGGCCCTGAGATGTGGCTGCCGTCGTCCGCCTTCGAGAACGAGCTGGGCGTTCAGGCTGCCGCTGCAGGGGGTGAAGGAACGACCTTCGGCAGGAGCAGAAACAGGAGCAGGAGGAGCCATCAGTTTCAAGGGAGTATCAAAACATAGCCCCATGTTGAAGAGGGGCCGCCCTCCATATGCATGTACGTGCTGCACACCTTCAGGTTTCGGGGCTTGGTGTCGTAGATAACGCATTGTGCGCACATGTTGCACACTCCTCGCTCTCGTATCGTAGAATTGAAAATGTATACTGCTCGAGTCCTGGAAAGGGTATCGCTCTCCATCCGTGAACGGTTGATAATGTGTTCTGCGAAGGCGCGTTTCGCAAAGGCAGGAGCCACATTTTGATGGCTCATGATCATCAACTCTTCGGAGAAGGCGCTGGTCAAACGATCAGCCCGCTTTTCCAGCAAGCCTGGTGGTGCGACGAGGAGGAGTTGCTGTAAGGAGCAGAGGTGGAGGCATGAACAGCTAAGGGGAGCGAGAGGGGGACGGAGGAGAATGTGAGAGGGGGGATCCAGCTTGAGAGGCGCCGGTGGGCTACTGGGACCCGATGGGGCTCTCCAAGGATGGCGACATGACTAAGTTCAAGCGCCGCAGGGCTAGCGAGCTGAAGCACGGGCGCATATGCATGTACGCCACCCTCGGGTACATCGTGCCAGAGTATTTCCGGTTCCCTGGGTTCCTGTCGGTGTCCGAGAACCTGAAGTTCGCGGACATGCCCAGCGGCATCAACGGCATGTTCTCCACGCCAGTCGCGGGGGGTCTGCAGATCTTCCTGTTCATGGGTTTCCTGGAGGCCCGAGGGAGGGGCCGAACACAGCACGCAGGAACACACACTTTTCCTCAGGCGGACAGGCGACAGGACCACAGCGAGTACTAAGGCGGGGCACGTTTAGCTCCATGCAGAAACATACACAGACACACAGACACGCACGGCATGCCGTATCTCGGCCTGGTGTGCTCCCAGAATCCGCAGCCCGCCCGCGCTCCCGCTTGCACCCCTGCGCAAGTCCGTACATGCATGCTCCGCCTGTAGCTGCTCTCTCTACACGGCGTTGTCCTCTGGCACCCCTTTGTTGGCAAAAGTTTGACTGGCGCCCCCTGCCAGCCCAAGCTGGCCCACGATTCCCCCAGCCCGCCGGCCGTGCGGCAAGCCAGCCCCCTCTGTCCGCCTGTGCGAGGTCGGCCTCCTGAGACAAGACGGCAGCCGCGCCCCGGGCGACTTCGAGAACGTGGGCCGGCTGGGCGTGCCGTACGCCGAGGGCGAGCAGGACCCCGAGGCGAGGAAGCGCGCCTTGAACTCGGAGCTGGCGAACGGTCGCTTGGCGATGGTGGCCTTCATGGGCATGCTGTTCCAGAACGGCACCTTCGGGTCCACCGGCCCTGAGATGTGGCTGCCGTCGTCCGCCTTCGAGAACGAGCTGGGCGTTCAGGCTGCCGCTGCAGGGGGCGAAGGAACGACCTTCGGCAGGAGCAGGAGCAGGAGCAGGAGGAGCCATCAAGTTCAAGGGAGTATCAAAACATGGCCCCATGTTGAAGAGGGGCCGCCCTCCATATGTATGTACGTGCTGCACACCTTCAGGTTTCGGGGCTTAGTGTCGTAGATAACGCATTATGCGCACATGTTGCACACTTCTTGTTTTCGTATCGTAGAATTGTAAATTTATAATGCTCGAGCCCTGGAAAAGGTATCGCTCTTCATCCATTAACGGTTGACAATGTGTTCTGCGAAGGCGCGCTTCGCAGAGGCGGGAGCCACCTTTTGATGGCTCATGATCATCAACTCTTCGGAGAAGGCGCTGGTCGAACGATCAGCCCGCCCTTCCAGCAAGTCTGGTGGTGCGGCGAGGAGGAGTTGCTGTAAGGAGCAGAGGTGGAGGCATGAACAGCGAAGGGGAGCGAGAGGGGGACAGAGGAGAATGCGAGAGGGAGGATCCAGCTTGAGAGGCGCCGGTGGGCTACTGGGACCCGATGGGGCTCTCCAAGGATGGCGACATGACTAAGTTCAAGCGCCGCAGGGCTAGCGAGCTGAAGCACGGGCGCATCTGCATGTACGCCACCCTCGGGTACATCGTGCCAGAGTATTTCCGGTTCCCTGGGTTCCTGTCGGTGTCCGAGAACCTGAAGTTCGCGGACATGCCCAGCGGCATCAACGGCATGTTCTCCACGCCAGTCGCGGGGGGTCTGCAGATCTTCCTGTTCATGGGTTTCCTAGAGGCCCGAGGGAGGGGCCGAACACAGCACGCAGGAACACACACTCTTCCTCAGGCGGACAGGCGACAGGACCGCAGCGAGTACTAAGGCGGGGCACGCTTAGCTCCATGCGGAAACATACGCAGACACACAGACACATACGGCATGCCGTATCTCGGCCTGGTGTCCTCCCAGAATCCGCAGCCCGCCCGCGCTCCCGCTTGCACCCCTGCGCAAGTCCGTACATGCATGCTCCGCCTGTAGCTGCTCTCTCTCTCTGTCCTCCGGCACCCCTTTGTTGGCAAAAGTTTGTCCGGTGCCCCCTGCCAGCCCAAGCTGGCCCACGATTCCCCCAGCCCGCCGGCCGTGCGGCAAGCCAGCCCCCTCTGTCCGCCTGTGCGAGGTCGGCCTCCTGAGACAAGACGGCAGCCGCGCCCCGGGCGACTTCGAGAACGTGGGCCGGCTGGGCGTGCCGTACGCCGAGGGCGAGCAGGACCCCGAGGCGAGGAAGCGCGCCTTGAACTCGGAGCTGGCGAACGGTCGCTTGGCGATGGTGGCCTTCATGGGCATGCTGTTCCAGAACGGCACCTTCGGGTCCACCGGCCCTGAGATGTGGCTGCCGTCGTCCGCCTTCGAGAACGAGCTGGGCGTTCAGGCTGCCGCTGCAGGGGGCGAAGGAACGACCTTCGGCAGAAGCAGGAGCAGGAGGAGCCATCAACTTCAAGGGAGTATCAAATCACAGCCCCATGTTGAAGAGGGGCCGCCCTCCATATGTATGTACGTGCTGCACACCTTCAGGTTTCGGGGCTTAGTGTCGTAGATAACGCATTATGCGCACATGTTGCACACTTCTTGTTTTCGCATCGTAGAATTGAAAATGTATAATGCTCGAGTCCTGGAAAAGGTATCGCTCTTCATCCATTAACGGTTGACAATGTGTTCTGCGAAGGCGCGCTTCGCAGAGGCGGGAGCCACCTTTTGATGGCTCATGATCATCAACTCTTCGGAGAAGGCGCTGGTCGAACGATCAGCCCGCCCTTCCAGCAAGTCTGGTGGTGCGGCGAGGAGGAGTTGCTGTAAGGAGCAGAGGTGGAGGCATGAACAGCGAAGGGGAGCGAGAGGGGGACAGAGGAGAATGCGAGAGGGAGGATCCAGCTTGAGAGGCGCCGGTGGGCTACTGGGACCCGATGGGGCTCTCCAAGGATGGCGACATGACTAAGTTCAAGCGCCGCAGGGCTAGCGAGCTGAAGCACGGGCGCATCTGCATGTACGCCACCCTCGGGTACATCGTGCCAGAGTATTTCCGGTTCCCTGGGTTCCTGTCGGTGTCCGAGAACCTGAAGTTCGCGGACATGCCCAGCGGCATCAACGGCATGTTCTCCACGCCAGTCGCGGGGGGTCTGCAGATCTTCCTGTTCATGGGTTTCCTGGAGGCCCGAGGGAGGGGCCGAACACAGCACGCAGGAACACACACTTTTCCTCAGGCGGACAGGCGACAGGACCACAGCGAGTACTAAGGCGGGGCACTCTTAGCTCCATGCGGAAACATACGCAGACACACAGACACATACGGCATGCCGTATCTCGGCCTGGTGTCCTCCCAGAATCCGCAGCCCGCCCGCGCTCCCGCTTGCACCCCTGCGCAAGTCCGTACATGCATGCTCCGCCTGTAGCTGCTCTCTCTCTACACGGCGTTGTCCTCCGGCACCCCTTTGTTGGCAAAAGTTTGTCCGGTGCCCCCTGCCAGCCCAAGCTGGCCCACGATTCCCCCGGCCCGCCGGCCGTGCGGCAAGCCAGCCCCCTCTGTCCGCCTGTGCGAGGTCGGCCTCCTGAGACAAGACGGCAGCCGCGCCCCGGGCGACTTCGAGAACGTGGGCCGGCTGGGCGTGCCGTACGCCGAGGGCGAGCAGGACCCCGAGGCGAGGAAGCGCGCCTTGAACTCGGAGCTGGCGAACGGTCGCTTGGCGATGGTGGCCTTCATGGGCATGCTGTTCCAGAACGGCACCTTCGGGTCCACTGGCCCTGAGATGTGGTTGCCGTCGTCCGCCTTCGAGAACGAGCTGGGCGTTCAGGCTGCCGCTGCAGGGGGCGAAGGAACGACCTTCGGCAGGAGCAGGAGCAGGAGCAGGAGGAGCCATCAACTTCAAGGGAGTAACAAAACATAGCCCCATGTTGAAGAGGGGCCGCCCTCCATATGTATGTACGTGCTGCACACCTTCAGGTTTCGGGGCTTAGTGTCGTAGATAACGCATTATGCGCATATGTTGCACACTTCTTGTTTTCGTATCGTAGAATTGAAAATGTATAATGCTCGAGCCCTGGAAAAGGTATCGCTCTTCATCCATTAACGGTTGACAATGTGTTCTGCGAAGGCGCGCTTCGCAGAGGCGGGAGCCACATTTTGATGGCTCATGATCATCAACTCTTCGGAGAAGGCGCTGGTCGAACGATCAGCCCGCCCTTCCAGCAAGTCTTGTGGTGCGGCGAGGAGGAGTTGCTGTAAGGAGCAGAGGTGGAGGCGTGAACAGCGAAGGGGAGCGAGAGGGGGACAGAGGAGAATGCGAGAGGGAGGATCCAGCTTGAGAGGCGCCGGTGGGCTACTGGGACCCGATGGGGCTCTCCAAGGATGGCGACATGACTAAGTTCAAGCGCCGCAGGGCTAGCGAGCTGAAGCACGGGCGCATCTGCATGTACGCCACCCTCGGGTACATCGTGCCAGAGTATTTCCGGTTCCCTGGGTTCCTGTCGGTGTCCGAGAACCTGAAGTTCGCGGACATGCCCAGCGGCATCAACGGCATGTTCTCCACGCCAGTCGCGGGGGGTCTGCAGATCTTCCTGTTCATGGGTTTCCTGGAGGCCCGAGGGAGGGGCCGAACACAGCACGCAGGAACACACACTTTTCCTCAGGCGGACAGGCGACAGGACCACAGCGAGCACTAAGGCGGGGCACGCTTAGCTCCATGCGGAAACATACGCAGACACACAGACACACACGGCATGCCGTATCTCGGCCTGGTGTCCTCCCAGAATCCGCAGCCCGCCCGCGCTCCCGCTTGCACCCATGCGGAAGTCCGTACATGCATACTCCGCCTGTAGCTGCTCTCTCTACACGGCGTTGTCCTCCGGCACCCCTTTGTTGGCAATTTGACTGGCGCCCCCTGCCAGCCCAAGCTGGCCCACGATTCCCCCAGCCCGCCGGCCGTGCGGCAAGCCAGCCCCCCCTGTCCGCTTGTGCGAGGTCGGCCTCCTGAGACAAGACGGCAGCCGCGCCCCGGGCGACTTCGAGAACGTGGGCCGGCTGGGCGTGCCGTACGCCGAGGGCGAGCAGGACCCCGAGGCGAGGAAGCGCGCCTTGAACTCGGAACTGGCGAACGGTCGCTTGGCGATGGTGGCCTTCATGGGCATGCTGTTCCAGGTGCCGTCAGGGTCTCCGCCTGCTCTTTCCACGTAGGCCTCTTGTTCGTCCCTCTTTCCCTGCTGGCTCTCTCCCTCATCATCCCTCCCCGCTGCAGAGATCTCAGTGTATCCTCCTCCTCCTCCTCCTCCTCCTCCTCCTCCTCCTCCTCCTCCTCCTGCTCGTCCTCCTCCTCCTCCTCATCCTCATCCTCATCCTCCTCCTCCTACTGGACCAACATCGGCTCGCGGTGCTACTACATGTGCCTGGTGCTCACTGGCGTTGCCCAGGTCTGCCCCCTCTCGGGCACCCTATAGGCACTGGCCACCGCGCCGTTCGTGGAGGCTATCGCCGGTGCGCTGGCGCTTTCCTCACGCTCCCTGGCCAGCCGCCCACGTCGCGACGAGCCACTTCTCGGTCCTGGCTGGGACGCCGAGTTCGGCGTCTGTGCTGATGGCATGGGGATAGTTCTATGGGACATTTGCCTCAGTTTCATCGAGCCTCACTTCTGCGCCATGGCGTGCCTCGCGTGCCTGTGTCTACAGCCCCACAAATGTGTCCTGGTGCTGCTGTGGCTGGCTGCTGCGCACCTGCCAGCGGCCCGCGATGCCGTTCGTGCCGCACTCAGGGCATGCGCTCCGAGCTGGTCCGACTTCGCCGTCTCTCTGAAGGTGAAGTACCTCGGCTTCGCATTGGGCCCAGAGGCGTCCCGTCCCTCCTGGACTCCTGGCAGGCGGCGGCCACAAAGTACAAGCAGCGCGCGGCCGTGCTCAAGAGCGTCCCTGTCCCGACGGCTCAGGTGATCACGTTGGACAACGGCTCCACAGTGTCCGTCCTCATGCATGCCGGCCCAGTTGCTGCCCCTACCGGAGTGCCTCATCAAGGGTGAGTTCGACGAGCTGCACCGCATCCTGAAAGCCCCGCCGAAGTCATTCGCGATGGCCGACCTGATCAGTCTAGGTACCTGGGCACCCGGGCCCGCCCTGGCTGCGCTGCTGCATGCTTCCTGGGCCGCTGCATGGCGCGCCGCTCACGTCACGCTGGCGGACTGGACGGTATTCGCGGACGCTTTGCCGGAGCTCGCGTTGGACGCTCTCCCTGCCACCACCGTCATCTCGGGCCGATGGGGCGCCCCGTTCTGGCAACAGACCGAGTCCACGTTACAGTACCTCTTGGCCGTCGACGCCGCTGCGGTCAAGGCGCCCAGCGAGCATCTGCAGCGGCGCCGGCGGCAAGCCCTGCAAGCTGCCAACACCGCAGCATGCCGCGAGCTGCGCGCAGCAGCGGCCGCAGCGCGCAAGCCCCGCCTGCAGTGCACGCACGCGGCTGCAGCTGCCCCGCTTGCAGCAGTTATTTCCCGAGAGTTTCGATGCCACGATCCGTTGATGCCTCCGTGCTTGGTGGCCTGCCCGGGCGGTCCTCCATGACCTCCGACGGAGGTGGCTGCGACTCAAAACCCGGCTGGACGTCGCCGCCGCAGGCATTCGCTGGGCGACCGTCGGCACTCTCGCAGGCGCCTGGCCCGTTTCGATCCCCGACTGACGTGCTGGTGGCAATGCGAGGACGGCGCTGACCAGATATCGCACTACTTGGAGTACCGTGGAGCCTGGTGGTGCGTGTTTGTGGCCTCGCGCACCATTGCACACGAAAGCACCCTGCATCGTCTCGTGCTGGGCACGCAGGAGGACGACGGCGCAGACCCGCAGGGCGAGAACGGTCGCTCGGCTGGCCACGTTGTACCACACAAAAACCCTGCTCCGACACCGTCTAGGGCCGCTGCAGCCGGGCCCTGAGGTGGCAGAGGCGCTGGCGCGCGCTGCCGCCCGCCGCGTTCGGGTCCCACCGATCAGCCGGGAACCGCAACCCCCTGGGTCCGTGACATACGCGGGAGGCCCAGCAGCGCCGGAATGTCACCGACACCGGCGCGAACTGCTCAGCACGCCCAGTGGCGCCCAGTCCACATGGCGCAAGGGCAGTGTACTACAGACTGCCCCGACATCTATTACTTCAACTCTGAGCGGCCCGGCGCGCCGCCACTGAGCTCGTGCACCATGCGGTGGTATGGGCGCTCCTCCTCCTCCTCCTCCTCCTCCTCCTCCTCCTCCTCCTCCTCCTCCTCCTCCTCCTCCTCCTCCTCATAATCATCATCATCATCATCATCAGCAGCAGCAGCATCATCATCATCATCGACATCATCACCATTACCCTCTCGCGCCCTGCTCCACACACACACACACACACACACACGCACAAACACACTGCTTTCGTCCTACACCTCCCTCCCATCCCTTACCATGGCGTAGATATTTTCTCGAGTCGCACAGTCAGATGTTGAGCAGGGCAATGATCGCGAGAGGGTACGCGATGCATGGTAGGGCACGACATGGCATGGCGTAGAAGGGCACGGCAGAGCGTAACATGCCATAGCATGGCGTGGCATTGCGCAGTGAAGTTTTGCATCACAAAGCAATGCAACGCAAAGCATGGCATCGCACAGCGGCGCAGAACGCAACACCGCACAGCATGTCATGGCATGTCGCCGGGTTCCTTGACGGGTAAGTGGATCGACTTCGAGAGGTTTGGGCCGGTCTGGAGCCGTGGCTCCACGTCTAGTTCCTTGGGCCCCCCGAAAGCTCCACACTAGGCGGGGCTGATGGAGAGCACCCACTGGCTCTGCTTCCAACGTCGCCTTCTCCAAGCAGAAACGGGGCTCCCGCTTGATACTTCCTGAAAACGACGACGCCCCAAAGAGGGTGGGGGGCTTCTCCGGCCCAAAAAATCAACGAATCGACACCGA